GGTCCAGAATCCGGCAAATGTGAATAATTTTTGTTATGTTTGAATGGTACCCGGGGTGGTACAGAGTACATTAGTGTAATAACTATGTCAGAGGATTCTGAATGAGGTCCCAGACTTCACTGATTGGTCGGGTCAGGTAGACTACGAGATCAGGTGGTGAGAAGTCGATGGGGGGATGACTGGTGGCGCGCTCGGAGGGGTACTCCGAGTATGAGTGATGAAGGGCGCCGATAATCCTACTCGTGTGGAGGGTGGTCGGAATGGTACTGCGGTACCGATCACAATGTGCCCACGAGATGATAGCCTCCGAGTTCGGGCATAGTTAGGGTATACTTCGGAAGGTGTCTTAGTGTGTTGATAATTTCGTAATTGATTATAATATGTAATTATTACTTTTATATCTGTTTTATTATATCGAATGATTTAATATTTACCCCTATTTTTTCCATGTGGATGGGATCTGCGATGATCACTTTTATGTGGGAGCATATCGGGAGTTGAGAGATGGTGATGGGACTACTGGACGACGAGGGATAGTTCAGTGGGATAGCTTCGAGGGAGCTACTGTTACATGTATAATGTATAAATAAATGATGTTAATATATTTTGAAGTTCCGTTAGTGAACTGGAATTTCAATATATGTTACAATTACAGTAATATAATGTAAAATAAATGTTGTTATTTACTTGTTTACTACTTTGCGAAGACATCATTATAGTAGCGATTTCTAGGGTCGTTACAATGATCACTTTTATGTAGGAGCACGAGTTGAGAGATGGAGATGTGACTATTTGACAACAGGGATAGTTTAGTGGGATAGCTTCGAGGGAGCTACTTTTACATATATAATATATAAATAAATTATGTTACTATATTTTGAGATTCTGTTAGTGAATCGAAATTTCAATTTATGTTACAATTACGATAATATAATGTAAGATAGATGTTGTTATTTAACTATTTTGCGAATGTATCATTATAGTAACGATTTCTAGGATCGTTACAAGTTGATGTGACCTACTAAGTTAATAACTATAATTATAGGGATTGATTCATACCATAGTAAAAATAAAAATATCAATTTTTGAAAATAATATTTTAAAATTGTAAATAAATTACTGATGAAACAACTTTTTAATACAATAAAAACTTGTTTGTTTATTATTTTTAAAACATAATTTTTAATTTTTTAGTTTTTGAAAACTAAAAAACTTGTTTAGTAACTCTTTTTTTAAATAATTCTTTTAAATTATTTTGTTTTTTAGTTTTTTAAAACTAAAATTGATAAAAGATGTATTATTTTTTAGTTTTTATTTTCATTGGTATCAACCTTTTACTTAATAATTATATTAAATAATTTATTTTCATCATTATCAAAATTATTTTTCAACTTTTATCATAACTTTTTATGATTATTCATGATATTCTCTTTTAATTTAAAATAGTTTTCAAAAATACAGATATTAAACAAAACAAGTTCTTTTTATTCAACTTATTTTTTAATATAGATTTTTAAATTGATCTCTACACTTGTTTTATTTTTTAGTTTTTAAAAACAGTTTTAGAAATCGATTTCGAAAAACTATTTTTGAAAATAATTTGGAAAACAATCTTATTTGGTAAATTTATTTTTTAAAATTATTTTAAACAAAAAAATATTACATAAATGACATAAAAAATCATTCCAAAAATTAGAAAATGGTTTCTAATTTTATAATAATGAATGAGTGATGTAATTTAATTATTAAATAAAACATTCATGCCCATAAGCCATGAGTAAAAACATAAATCTACAAAATAAAAAACAACTTTTACCAGTTTTTTTTTTTAGTTTTAAAATTTAAAAAACATAATCTGTTTTAACCAAAACAGTTACCAAATAAGCTTTTTATTTTTTAAAAATTAAAAAATTTAAATTTTCTTTTAAAATAATAAACACCTAAAATTGTTTTTAAAAACTAAAAACAAAATTTAAGTTAAATAATTTCTAAATGTTTTAAATATTAAAAAAATTATTTCAATATCTATAATGGATTAATTTTAAAAAATCAATAATGTGTTGTAATATATTTTTTTATTATAAATACAAATGTAAATAATTTGAACGTCATTTTAATACGATAATTTTATATTTTATTAATTAAAAAGAATTAATTATTTAAAAAATATATATATATATATAAAAGTAATCTCACAAATAGTTATCCACTCATTAAAACTTATTTAATTTTAATTTATATTCAACCTTTATTTATATATGTAGTATTTCAATTTTCATAATAATGTTATTATTATAATATTGACTTAATCCATTTACATTCCTACATTTTCACAAATATACAATTTTAATTTGTATATAATTCTAAAACTGTGATACACGTAATTTTAGACACCGAATTGGAGGTTAATTATATACTCAATTGGTTTAAAACTTAAATCAAAAAGGGTTTATGGGGTTACCCTTTGGGCAATGCCAAAAGCAACGCTTGACTCAGTTCCAACGCGCAATAACGTTTCAACATGCAATAACAAATCAAATTGTTTTCTTAATGCATTTCGCGTGTATGAATTCAATTCACAATCAGAATGGCGTGTTACAAGATATCAATCACTATCTTACCTATTTCTTCGCAGGTAACAAAATTATAAAACGGGCTCATACTATTTTAAATTATGTTACTATCGTTTAGAATCGGTCATAATTACATATACATGTTAAAAATAATTTTAATACATGAAAAATACGTCAGATTATTCAAAATATTGGTAGTCTAAATTAAATTTATTTTACCCTGATTATAGCTCCTGTATTTATAGGTCAAATTTAAAATAATAATAATTTTTTAAATAAAAATAAAAATAATAGTATTTTATTAAAAAAATTATATATATATATATATATATATATATTACAACTTAATTTCATAAATATTTACGTGTACTAAAAATAAATATCTAATAATTATTTATTTAAAAGTTTAATAATTAAAATTAATTATTATTTTAAATTAATAAATTATTAAAAATAAATTATTAAAAAAGAAATTTTTTAATAAAAAAGTAATTTCATTAATAAAATTAAAATTTTTAAGATATATTTGTATCTTTTATTTTTATTTAAATATTTTTTAATTACTTGATTTTATATTGATAGGTTAATAAATAAAAAATTCAATTAAACTAAAATTAATCATTAACATGATGGTCTAACACAGATCAAATTAAGCTAAAATTTTTGGTTTAATTTTTCGATGATTAAATAGAATATTGAAATTTTATAGAAACTGTAATTTTGCAAAATTGTAAAAACATTAGTGGATTTAAGCAAATATAATAATAATATTAAAATTCAAATATCAATTATATTAATAATGTTGAATATAAATTAAAATTAAATAATATAATATTATTATTATATTCATCTCATCAGTTGTAGAATAGATATTTATATTTTTTTTACGAAAATAAATCGTTATTTAACATATAATCATATGCTACCTATCCTGTCAATTTATAAAGTTGATTATAAGATTTGATTAATTACATATAAAATAAAATAATATGAAATAAAATTATAATTAAAAAAATATAATACAAATTTATAAGAACTTTCTATATGTAGCACTAAATATATTTAATATTTTTTAGTAATTAGTTTTCGTATTATATACTAGGTTTAAAGCCTAATTGTACAACTGTTTTAAGCCTACAGACAATTTTAATAAAACAACAGCATATAAACAATAAATTGTGTTTGAAGTGTATGATAAAAAAAATTGTGGCAGATTAAATAAGGAATTTGATTTTTAATTATTAATTATTTAAAATTTGAATATTTGATACATAAGTAACACCTTAATCCAATCTATTATATAAGTTTTATAGAGAAATAAGGTACGAGTTGTTCATAAATCAATTTTATAAAGAAATAAGTTATGACTAGCATTTTAGATAAAATATTAGTTTAATTAATTTAACAATATTTCCAAAATGACTTATTTATAAGAAATAGAAGCGAGTTGATTATTTTACAGTGGAACAATCAATCCATAAAGTGGATTGACTCATCTATACCAACTTTTTAAAAGGAAAAAGATTTTGAAAAAATATATATATAAAAATAACTTGTGATAATTTATCCGCATGATAATTCTTAGTTTTCTTATAATGTAAGTTTTGAAAACGTAATCACAAATTATAATTATTTTTCTTTTATTTATATTGTTATTTAATTAAAAAGTTATATAAAAATTATCTTTTTTTTATGATGATATTATGACATATTTTATACGAGTGTAGATCATGATTTTATTACAATTATTAATAAATATTTAATAAATTTTTATTTTATATTTTTAATTTTATATATTTAAATATGTTGGTTACTATTTTATAATAAATTTATATATAACTAAGAGTGTATAAATATATTATTTAACTTCAAAATTAAATTACTATTAGATCCGTTATATTGTACAAGGATTCATTAATATCTTCGAAGTTTATTTATTAGTCATTCATTTTAATAAAAATGGCTCTTTAATTACACTTTTTTTTTTTCATCAACCTTAAATTTAAAATATTTCTTATTTGGGTCTAATTTTACTAACACACACTCTCCAATCACATTTATTCTTAACTAAATTTTATATTAAATTTTAATCCACTCTCACTAAACTTTTGTGAGTCCCACTTCTTACTTAACTCCTTTAAAAAAATAAAAACTAGAAACAATTGTAGAAAGTATGTGCGTGAATTTTTCTCTTATATTATTTATTCTATTTTTTTCTAATTAATTAGCCATATATTACATTAAAAAAATAGTTTTTCTTTTTTTTTATGAACGTAGAAAAATGTTTAACTCTTCGCTTACTTATATTTATTACTTTTTGTTTTATTAACAAGTACATCAAATACTTGCAATAAATATCTTCAGATTAAATTAAAACAAAAAAAGAGTTTCCATTTAAATGATTTTTGGAAAACCCAAGGCCAAGTTTCAGCCGGTGGAACCAAACCCAAATTCATCCAACCCATCAAAGAACCCTTCAGGTAACCCATCCAAACCACCGTCACTTTCCTTCACCAGCCCCTCCTCCTCCGCCGCTGCCACTGGCGTCTCCGTCTCCTCTTCAAGGATCGGCAAATGCCCCTCGAACAGCGCCACGTGTCCAAACAGCTTGTCCTTCCGCGAAAACGTGGTTCCGCAAGAGCACTTCCACGTGGCTTCTCCTCGACACTGCTTCACGTGACTCCTCAAGTCCGAGAGCACCGCGAAACTCTTCTTCCGACACCGCTCGCACGACAGCGTCTTGGGACAGTGTCTCCTCTTGAAATGGTTCCTCAGACAGAACACCGACTTCAACGGCCTGAACTTCTTGTGGGTCTTGTTGCGGTTGCATCCCTCGAAGGGGCACGAAAACCGTGTCGCCTTCACGCGCAGCTCTCCACGCGCCCTGCTCGCGAGCGCGTCCGGAGTCTTGAACTCGTCCCCGTGAGCGCGCATGTGCATCCTAAGGTTCGCGTCGCGCGTGAAGCCTTTCCCGCACACCTCGCAGAAGTGGAGGTTCTGCGCCAGGAGTTCCATCGCGTCGACCTCCACCAAGTTTGTTTCGTTGTTGTTTAAGATCGGAGAGCCCAACGTGGGAGTCTCCGAAAGGGGAAGCACGTTTTCTGAGGCTGCGACTAAGGCGGCGCCGTTGGTGATAACGTGGCGAATGGCGGCTAGGATCTCGTTGGACACGATGTTCATTTGTTGGTGTGTGAGGAGAGTGTGGGATTGAATGGATTGGGAGACAAAGCTTTGAAGCGAATCCATTCGGGTGCTGAGTTGGGAGAGGTTGCGCAGGGAAACATGGAGGGAATCGATGTTGACGATGTTGTTGTTGTTGATTGGGAATTTTTGAGTGGTGTTTGGCATGTGGTTTAGTTGAAGTGTTTGTGATGTTTAGATACTTGCTGGTGATTGTTGTGTGAGGATGATACTGCGATGAGTAACGTGATTTCATCAACTCTTCTTATATATGGTGTGATCTGATTATTTTGTTGTACAAACTTGAAACGTGGGTCTCGATGCTTTTGTCCATACATGCTGCACGTGTTCGTTAGGTTGTGTTTTTTCAATTGACACAAACAGCACTGGTCTTATACCTTTTTTGACCTCTTTTTACTATTTTATTATTATTTGTTACAGCATGGTAACGTCAATTTTATTTTATTTTCAAGTTTTTTTAATATTTATAGTAATAAATTTGATGTATGTGAATTTGCACCACTTGATATAACAAATTATACCTCAACTATCCAAATCTAAGAAGTTCATGGATGGATATACATGATTTATTCAAAACATTATATCAATGATTCCATTGACTCTGCGATGAGACATAATCTCCAAAAACATGTTACAACAACTATATACAAACACTAACATCAAGACTAAGTAGTTGTTGGAAAATGGTGATTTTTTATTTGTGTTGCAATATATGTATGTTTACTCTAAAAATAAAAGATTTGCGATCAAATTAGAGATTAAATGTGCGGTGCAAAATCACTCTTATGCACTGTTTAGGAGGATAGAGAGAAATGGAAAAATAAACGGTTTGAGAAAAGAAAAATATAGGTAAGAAATGAAATAAAATGTGTGATTGTTTGATAAGATAAAATTAGATGAGAAATTAAAGATATAAACATTTTGAAAGTTATATAATTTGATAAGAGATAAATTTTTTTTATTATATTCATTAGTATTTTATTGTTTAAGTCGATAATAATGTTTGTTTATATATATTTATTTTTTTATTTTATTAATACATCTTTTAATTAGTATTTTACCGTTTAAGTTGATAAAAATGTTAGTTTATATATATTATTTTTTTATTTTATTAATATCTTTTTTAAAGATAAAATATTAATAAATTAGAATTTCAAAACCTACAATATCTCATATATAATAATATATTCTAATAATATTATTATCTATTAATTTTTTATATAACAAAATTATCTATTAATTTTTTATATATGATAACATGAATATTTTTTATTTTAAATACACATCTTAAAAATATTGTTTAAAATATATATTTTAATAAGTTTTTTTTATCATAAATATAATTTTAAAAATTTCACCAAATATTAATATAAATAAACTTATTTTTTATCAAATATTATTCAAATAAGTTATAATAAAAAATATGGATTTAAATAAAATTAATTTTTTTAACGATTACTATAACTTAAATAAATTTCAATAAAAATATGAATTTATAAAATTTAATTTTAAATAATTTTTCAATAATTAATATTTTAATATTTAAAAGGATGATTTTTTTTATTTCATCCCTAAATTTATCTATAACCTTATTTATCATTTCTTTTATATAGTTAATTTAACATAACTAAAATTAAAATAAATCATAAAAAAATATTTTAATATTATATGGAACAATTAGAATGAACATTTATATAATCACAGCTTATTGGATGTAAAGGTTAGTGTCCTATCAACATGCCATTTATTTTTATATTTATATTTATAATTTTATTTTATTTTATATTTTTAGATATTTAAATTGAATAATTATTAAATTAGTATTATAAATAAAATTTTCTTACATCTTTTATATTCTTTAATAAATTTTTTTTTACTTCCATGAAATTATTGGTCAAGTGTGAATTTTCCCTTCTTTCTCCACTCATACCAAAAAAAAACTATTGATTAAAAATTACTTGATGTCTTTTATTAACATTACATCATCAATTAAAATTATATAATTTAAAATACATTAGAATATTTTAAAATTGAAATTTAATTAATAAATTATTTCATAATAGAACGTATCCTTATAAAATAATGGAACCATTAAGCCTATTCCGCCGGCCAGCAGCCATATCTGAATTATTAACTCTCGATCGCGCGTTTATTTTCCCAGATTTGTTTGTGTTGGAACATAGTTCTAGATTTTTATTTTTATTTTTCAAATTAACTTATTATAACATCCCAACGTTGATAAAATTAATTTTACAAATATTTAATTTAAAATTATAATATTATATTTCTATTTTTATTATAAATATTAGTAAATAGTAAAACATTCGATTTTGATATAAATTTTTTAATATAACATAAAACCTACAAAATAAAAATATTTAATTCAAAACTAATTTTGGATTCATAATATTTTTTAATTATGAATTATATTTTAATAAAACGAAATATAATTATAAAGCTTTTTTAAATTACATTAATTAAATATATTTTTATAGTAATAATAAGTTTTTAGTCTTTAAATGTAAATCTCAATAATAATAGAGTTGGAACGATATTTAACTCCATTTAAAAAAATAATCTATTTTTATAATCAAGATAAAAAAATATCTTGAATTTATTTTTCAATTTTAAATAATACACTTTGTTACCTGGTTATCATTCATATTGTTACTCTGCATTATCTTATCCATTGCTAATTGTTACTAGACCATGTCTTCCATAATTAATACTCAATTAATTTTATCATTATTAATATTACTATCACTAATTATTATAATTCTTATCATAATGCCATATTTTTATCATTGTCAAATTGTTATTATTATTGACCAATACAAGAAATTTTATCTTTGTGATAATACTAACACCACCATAAAAGTATATATTTTTTAAATATTTAATTTTAAAAAATAAAATATAAAAACTAATTTTCAAAATAAAGTTGACTATTAGTTTTCATGAGATAGTATAGTAACAGTCGTATATTTTTTTTCTAATATAATAATAATAATAATAATAATAATAATAATAATAATGTTTTAAATCATTTATTGAGAAAAAATCAAAATAAAAATCGTTATTTTTAAACCTTACCGATAAAATCCACAACTCTAAAGTCAAGCAATAGTATTCAATCTAAATAACTACGCGTTAATAATTGAAGCTTGGAATTCAACATTTACGCAGCATAATCGCCAATATATTTGTGTATGTAGCTGCTTCTTATCTTATTCATGTATAATGTCAACATTACCCATCATCAAAACACGTGCTATTTTATCTTTTATTAACTAAATCATGATTTTTTTTACAATCCAAAATCAAGGAATATAAATTTAATAATATACTTTTTTAATATAGAATATATTTTATTGAAAAATCAAAATATTTGTTTCATATTTTGATTAATTAGAATATATGATCTATTATTACTGGAGTTATAAATATCAATATAGAATAATCTTAGAGATTGATACGCGAGTAATTAAGTTAATAAATGAATAAAATAATAAAAATAAATATTGAAAGAATGAGTTTAATTTAAGTGATTTTTATGTTTTTTTATATATAAAAATTGCATATTTTTACTTTTTGTTTAATAATATAATTATATTAAATTTACTGGTGTAGTCAAATAATATATTCAATATATGATAAATAAATCGAGATGTTAAAATTTATTTCTTGAATATTTTAACTAATTTAATAATAATTAATTTGTAACTAAATTATGTGTAAAATATTGTTTGTATAAGGATATTGTTCGATTTTATGTATGTTACTTGTAATGATTAATTTTATAAATGATAATTTATATATATATATTTTAAAGAAATTTTGTATTAGATAAAAATATAAAAATAGATAATAATTTAAACTGAGAATTAATCCTAATAATATTATTATAAATAATATGAGATTAAGACGTACTGGTTCCTAAATAAAATATTAATATTCATCTTATAATAAAAAATAGAATCAAGACCAAATATAATTTATATATATATATATATATATATTTTAATCTATAAAATTTTTTTGAAAACAAAATTATGAAAAAAAAAATAAAAAAAACATAATAATTCGAATATAAAAAATTGATTCTAAAAATATTTCTTACACAATAAATAAATAAATAAATAAATAAATATATATATATATATATATATATATATAATATATATATTATAGTAGTTAAAAGTTGAAATCAATAGTGAAAAATGATTTAACGTATAGCTTCCCGCGTGGCATGTGGGCCATCCCAATGACCAATCCAAAGAAAAACAAAAACTTCAGTTGCTTTCATGACTAAATGACGCCCCCTACTTGGTAATATAATATGTACTTTAATTCCCATGTTTAAAAATGAATTAAAATCAAATGATTTTGGTGACCAACAAACATACATTTTGGTTTAAACTCCTATTATTTAATTAATAGAAATTTAATTGAATGAGTGTAAAAGAAAAAAAAAGTTAACTGAATGAATCAAACAAAGTTTTTGGTCGTGTTTGTTTAAGTTTAATAAAAAGTATTTTTATGTACGAATGATATTAAATATGTTTTTATTAAGGTTTTGTCGAAAAATATAATCTATTTTTTGTTTTTTTCAAATTCATAAAAACAATTTTATATAATTATAGTTTTTTTTCCAAGTAACTCAAAATAATAAGGAAGAAATTTGTTTTATTCTGAAAATTCTTAAGAGATTAAACTAACGCACTAGCTTTTTGTAAGTATTTTTTATTAAAACGAATATCAGTATAAAAATGTGAGTTCGCATGAGAAAAAAATTCTTTATATGAATTAATTGAGATTATTTATTTCAATATATTGTGACCTTTATTTTAAGAGAAAATTTAAATTGTTAAAATTAACAGTTTAATAGAAAATAAAAACACTTTCAATAATGGAAACAGTAGTAAACTTGGTTTCGGTAAATATCTTGTGTTTTTAAAATGGAACCTAAATTACAGTAAGCTAAAAAAAATTGTCTTTTCAGAGTTATTCTTAATTTTATATAATCATTGTATATTATTATTATTATTATTATTTAAATGAACTTTATTTATTTATTAAATATAAGAACTAATTCATTATAATAACTTCATAACGAAGTTTTCCCGATGCACAATAATTTTTTTTTTATATGTTCGAAGGGGGATGAATGGTTTCTGCGGAAAATTCTTCCTCCCATATCACATGTTCCTCATTCTTCTTTTTCTATTGTCTAAATTTCAAGCAACGAGACTCTACTCGTGAAGGATCTGGTGAAACGGGAGAGAACTTGAATTAAGTGGGAAAACTTCGATAGAAATACCGTACCAGGTAAGGGGAAATTTAATTCATTCAATATATGAAATTGAATTGTTGGGTACTCTGCGAATAAGGAATATGAGTAGAGATATGAATTATTTAAATGTCTGATTTTGAAGAATTTCTGATTAAAAGTTTCTGAAATTCTTGAAATTAAGGATGAATTATATAATAAAATTGTTGTTTTTAACTTAAATTGAACATGTTTATGGTTTAATTTTGAGTTGGAACTAATTTGGGTGATTGAAACTGAGAAATTTGAAACCTGGATTTTGAAATGGCGTAGTGGAGGTGATTACTATTCATATTTTGCAAAGTTTTAAATATTGATTAAATTCTTGAAATTAAGGATGAATTATATAGTAAAATTGCTGTTTTCAACTTAAATTAGATATAATTCATGTTTAATTTCAATTTGGGACTAGTTTGGTTGTCTAAAATTGAGTAATTTGAAATCTGTCAAAATCTGTAAAATTCGACACTGTTACTGGGCGAAGGAAGAAGAAAGGGATATGGTGGGGATTTTTTAAAAAGATCAAGGGTAAAATAGTCATTTTTCATCCTAAGGACATAAATGTAATTTTTGAAAATGTTCAAGGGCAAAATAGTCATTTTACATCCTAGGGACATAAATGGAATTTTTGAAATTGTTCAAGGGTAAAATAGTCATTTTTGGGACATGGAAGAACTTTTTGAAAATGTCCAAGGGCAAATTAGTCGTTTTCGGGACATGGAAGGAATTTTCAAAAATGTCCAAGGGTAAAATAGTCATTTAGGGACATACATGAAATTTTAAGAAAAGATTAAGGGCAAAATAGTAATTTAATGATTTCGGAAATAGTTTCGGAAATAGTTTCGGAAATGATTTCGGAAATGATTTCAGAAATGATTTTAGAAAAATATATATATAAAGAGAGAGAGAATGAAAGTAGTGTGTTGTGACGTGTGTGGGTCAGACTGAGCCTGAGGGCTGATGCCCAGAATCAGTCCTGAGACGTTATATATTAGCTAGACTGAGCCGAAGGGTTGGTGCCAGAATCAGTCAAATACTATTTTTATTTACCTGAATGAGCCGTGAGGACAGGTGGTCCAGAATCCAGCAAATGTGAATAAATTTTGTTATGTTTGAATGGTACCCGGGATGGTACATTAGTGTAATAACTATGTCGGAGGATTCTGAATGAGGTCTCAGACTTCACTGATTGGTCGGGTTAGGTAGACTACGAGATCAGGTGGTGAGAAGTCGATGGGGGGATGACTGATGGCGCGCTCGGAGGGGTAATCCAGTATGATTGATGAAGGGCGCCAGTAATCCTACTCTATGTGGAGGGTGGTCAGAATGGTACTGCGGGTACTGATCACAATGTGCCCACAGATGATAGCCTCTGAGTTCGGGCATAGTTAGGGTATACTTCCGGAAGGTGTCTTAGTGTGTTGATAATTTCGTAATTGATCATAATATATAATTATTACTTCTATATCTGTTTTATTATATCGAATGATTTAATACTTACCCCTATTTTTCCATGTGGATGAGACTGCGATGATCACTTTTATGTGGGAGCAGATCAGGAGTTGAGAGATGGTGATGTGACTACCGAACAACAGGGATAATTCGATGGGATAGCTTCGAGGGAGCTACTTTTACATGTATAATATATAAATAAATTATGTTACTATATTTTGAAGTTCAGTTAGTGAACTCGAATTTCAATATATGTTACAATTACAATAATATAATGTAAAATAGATGTTGTTATTTACTTGTTTACTACTTTGCGAAAACATCATTATAGTAGCGAATTCTAGGATCGTTACAATAATTAAATTATATTTTAATTACAATATAAATGAATCTACCTCAATTGAAAAACAATACATACACGTAAAATAATTTCAGATTTTTTATACATTTTCAACTATCAAATCAATCTACCTAAATTAAGAGTAAATAGTGTTCAAACATAGTCACATATCTTCTAAATGCTATTTAATATCAAGATATGTTATGTGATAATTTTATTAATTTATATAATTCTTAACATAAAAATTATCATAAACAAGACAATAATGATAAACACGAAGAAAATACAAGTAAATAACATCTAGAAATATATAAAATAAACTTAATTTAGAAAGATAACTAAATTACTATCATACATAATTTATTTAAGGATGATTAAAAAAAACATAGTTTTGAAACCGTAATTATTATATTATTTTTATAAATTTTTAATATATAACTATAATTTTAAATATATATGTTATTATATGTTAAAATTTATTATTATTTTGCATAATAAATCTAAAAGCTTTTATTTCACTATCACAACAAATTTTAAATGTTTTCATTGTTTTTTAATTAGAAATATGTATTATTATTATTAGGTTGTTCTCTCTTTGTGACAAATCTACAAGTTTTCGTTACTTTTTTTATAATTATTCTTCTATCACAACGTTAATATTTTTAATAAAACAATTTTCACTTTTTTATTTTCACCTCTATCATTTAATACAAAGTTTTATAATATAATAAGAAACATTTTGTCAATAAAAAAAATAAAAAATTGAGAAGAATAAAAGAATAATTAACTCACAAACACAAGAAAAAATAAATATAAGGAAGGAGAGCAAGAAAGAGAAATAAGATAAAAAAAATCAAATGAATCAAATAAGCAAATAATTTTTTTTAATAAAACATGTAACAATTTATTATAACCACGGTTATAAACAAAATATTAAAAATTATTATTTTAAATATATAATGAAGTTTATAAAAAAAATTATATCATGTATCTCTATTAAAAAATTAAATTAATTTAACATTTGTCCTAACTTAATAATTCATATATAATCATTATTTAAAAATATTATCTTTTTGTTTATTTTGTAATCGTGCATGTCATAATTTTGAAGAATGAACCTGATAAACGGAATTTTGATGTTAAAAAAAAATTAAAAATCCTAACATTTTAGAGAGGTTACATTTTTTTAAGTTGAAAACTTATAATTTTGTTACAATAAAAGTTAATGTGAAGCTAGACGTGCCTCCGAATCTGGTGCAAATATTAAGAATTATGAAAATGAAGTTGAGGAATCGCTTTTCACTTGCTATATGAAGGGCATCATTTGGTCATAACAGACGGCCAACTTTTGGCTCTTTCATATATGTTTCTTTGCTCCTGCTTTACTTACTCCTTTTCTTCAAACAAATATAATAATTAGGTGCATGTATTCATGTATACAAATGCATGTACTTTTGTTTCGATAAAGGTTATAATATTTTTACTTATAATATTTGAAATAATAATAATCACTTCAAAATTATATTTGAAATAAATTTTACTTAGTTGATATTATATAAATTACTATGTTGGTAGTGCATTTAAATTTTTTTATATATAAGTTTTTGAAGAATGAAATAAGAGAAATTCAGATATGTTTCAAAGGAAAAATAAAATAAAAAACAAATGTAAAATTAAATATGACAAGGTTTAAAATAATATAATATTAATATTGAATGAAAATAAAAAAACAAATACAACCATTCACTTCCACCTTATACCATACATGTATATAGTCGCTTATTTTGATCAAATTAAAAAAGATGGTTGCTTATATGTCCTAAAATTCCTACACTGTTATTGTGTGCCTTAGCATTTTGGACAAAGAACGTTGTATTGCAACAACTTTAGTTTTAAATATACGAGTTCAAACATTACATAACATATTTAGTATTTAAAAAAAACTATTTTTTTTAATTTCTTAATTTTAGTTTCTAAAGTATTTAGGATTAATTATTGAAAAATGATATTTTGACAATCTAAATTCATACAACTCTTATAAATAACTCTATTTTAATATTATAATAATAATTTTACTTTATTTTTATTTTTATTAAATCATTCTGTAGATTATTATATTAATAAAAGTAAGTTGTTTAAATGATTGTATAGTTTCTCATTGTCAAAATATCACCACTCTTAATTA